TAAATTCATGCCTTAGGTGAGTATGTGTGAGAGTTTTATTATTTAATTGCAAATTGGATATCAAAGTGATTGTTGTCACTTTGAATTTTTGTCAAACTGAACTTAAAGTGGTATTTTTCATGGAAATCCTGAAGTTATAGATACTTGGAGTTATCCTTGATTTATTGGTTTTGATTTGAGGTCGTTTCGAGTTGTATGTAGGGAGTTATGATTTTTCTAAACCGAGCAGGCTGTTGAACCGTAATAAATTCACCATGAATCGACTTGTTGTCCGTTTGGGCTAAATTTTTTATATGTTGTGCCTTTGAGTATGTAGAAGGTGTGTGCCAAACCCCTGATTTTATCTCTGAGTTTTTGGTGTTCAAATACTTAAAACGTTTTCTGAGCAGAAAATTGTAAAATTCATTAAAAATCGTACACTTGGAGTTTTGAGCTGAAACTTAGAGAAACATGTTATTTTGTTGTTTTATGCTGTGTAAAAATTTCAGACTAAAATTCGAAGTGTAGCTATGCGGACCATTAAATGCCGATTTTGACGCTAATTTTGCTTAAATTATTTAAAACTGCTCTCAAATGAATTTAGGGCTGAAACTTGGTGAGTTTATGTGTTTTTGCATGCTTTATAATGTGGTAAAGTTTCAGGTTGATTGGCTGAGCCTAACTCCTAATTCTGAATTTAGTTCATTTGGGGTCTTAATGCTCGGTTATCTGTTGTTTAGGTTAGGATTGGATTTTATTAATGTTGGCATGATTTATGTGTATTACCTGAGGTATTTGAGTTGTGTCCAGGTCTGGTAGTCACTCCATAGTACCTAACTCGGTCAAGGAATCCACGAGCCACTTAGTCGATATGATTTCGGCTAAGTATATGTGCTTTGTGTGTTGTTTTGTATTAGGCAGTCAGTGATAGGTCATTATAAATTTCTGTAGGTTCTTTGAGCTGAACTTGTGCCATAATTCCTTCAACTCTGTGCTTGGCTATACCTCTTGCTACAACCAGGTGGGTTTTATTTTAAATTGATATGCCTTAATTAATTGTTATTGTTGTGGTATGATCAATGTATGCATGTGGACCATGTAGCCTTCGATGTGAGCTGTACCGGCCGTCGAACGGTTATCCCCGTAGCTATAGAACGTACCTTTGGGTAGTCTCATTTATTATTGTTGGCAGTCAGGGTGTGAGCCTTGGCTGGTGATCCTCGTATGTAAGGCCAAGACGTAAGTTTTGGCATTCGGGGCGGATTTACTCCTGCTGGCCGGGCACTCGATGTAAGGCCTTAGATAAGGCGTTTGGTATATAGTTCGGCAGTAGTCTATTGCAATAGGTGTGCACATGAGACGATTATTGATTATTGATAGGAGATGGGACGATTATTGATTCGTATACATGCTGCGACCATACCTAAATTGTTTTTTGATTATTGAATATTAATTATTACATAGCGGTGAGCACCTCGATTTTCCTATTGTGCTCACCCCCACCTGCTCTTCATGGATGCAGGTTAAGGTTGCGGGCACGGCGGAGGGATGCGAGTGGTGGTCTTAATTATTGATTTTGCTTCCGCCTAGAACTGAATATTGCTATTACTGCTGTCTTTATTATTGATTACTGGATTATTGATATGAAGTGTACTCCCTAGGATGATTTCATTATTGGATTACGAATTTGAGTATTGATAGTTGAGTATTGATGATTGTTTAAGTATTGGTGAATGATTGAGTATTGAAAATTTGGTTAAATATTGATAAACCGTTTGAAAATGAGTAACGTCTCAAGTGTTTATTGAAATAAATTTGAAAAATTTATTCTGATTTTCGGCAAATAAAAGTGGGGCGTTACACATCACATCTCTTGGAATTAGGAGAGCAGATCATTATTCACATGAGACACGCATGCCGCCCCTTTGTGCTCTCTTCTCTCTATTATGTTCTCTTCTTCTTCTCCAAGTAATCCCAGTAGAGATATCTCCAATTTTATCGCCCACCAAGATCATCGGAGATGATGTCGGGTCATACAACAGAAGATCTGAGATAGTCGAGTGATTTATATATATTTATCCAACTCCGTAATGTTTCTGTAATTCGCGGGTGTAGTGCCCCGTTCAAATTATGGATTTTTTCGAATTATTTATATTATTATGCAGTTATTTTGCATTTTTATTTTCTATGCTCGACAAGTTTTTCGGATTAATTAAATGTTAGAGTCTATTTAATCCGTTAAGAGAAATAATTTATTTAGACGTTAGTGTCTATTTAAATTATTCGAATTATCGAATTATCGGATATTCGTTAGCATTCGATTTTATTCAATTTAATTATTTAGAGAGAAACCGAAATTATTAGAATTTTCGGTTTATTGGTTGCCGTTCGTTTTGAGTTTGTATTCGGCTTCGTCGATTTTATTTTTCTCGACTCTTAAGAATTCAGCTATCCCAGCAGGATTTCAGCCTTTGAGCAAGTACTTTAGAAAGCACTTTGTAGACAACTGTGCAGAGACTTACTGGCCTAAACTGATTTAGGGACTCAGGGACAACACATTTAGGAATTAATGATAAGATGGTGTGGTTCCAGTAGTGCAAAATATTCCCAGATTAAAAAAAACTCTTGATAGCAAGGATAAAGTCAGTTTTAATCAATTCCCAAGAATGTTGATTGAGGAATTAAGTGAAGTATGGATTCTCCCCCAAGAGAACCTTCAGATGCAAAAAGTGTGGTATAGAATTCTTCAATATGGTTTTCCATTTTTTCTTGAGAGCAGAATTCCTCCCCCTGGCAGAGACCAGCCTAGTTATGGCATTCATCCTTCTCCTCTGTTGAGTATAGGCATGAAAAAATTTGGTATTTCCATCCCCATACTTAATCCATGTAAGCCTGGACTTTTGATGCCTATATTTCTCTTCATAACTATGGGCTTGATTAAGTTCTTTTTTGGTAGTTTCCCATTCTTCCCATTTAGTGTCATAGTTGTCTTCTCTCGGATTATCTATCTTCTAATTGAGGGCTGCAATGAGCAATTGGTTTTGGGTATGAAATTTGGAACTCTAGTGTAATAAGGCTAGTCTTGTCTGTTTGACCTTTTCTTTGAGTCTGTAAAAGGGAGTTCCTTAGACTGTTGTGAGCCATGCCTTCTTAACAACCTGTGCATAGTCTTCCCTTTCAATCCATCTTCTTATTAAAATCATGAATTCCACAACGACAATATATATTAATATAATATAATGAATTATATCAATATTGGTCTCTTAAAATGAACATCTAATTAAATCAGGCATCATGACTTAAGATCATTATCTATATGTACGTATGTATGTCCATCAAAAACATAATCATATAATTTGAACAAGTTCTTTATTGTAAATATTTTCTACTATACTATCATTTAGAAAGATGTTAAACTCATGTGACTAATATTTCTGTACAAATGCAATAGTGTTGGCAGAAAATTTATCACAAGGTCCCACCACAATAAAATGGGATAACATATTAAAATTTTTATGCTCATAATTTGTTTTGGCATTTAATGTCAACTTGTAAATAGTAAACTTGGTGGGTGTTCTGACATGAATGGGTGGTCATTAACATAGTTATTTTCTTACAAGATTGCCATGATTCAATACTATATCACCATTAGATTTACAATTTTCTTCACGTAAAGATCATATATTGTTCTCTTCCATCAAATGCCTTTCTTCTTCCTGTCCATAAAAAATTTCTAATTTACTTATTTTATGCCCAAGCTCCAACCTTGTTGTCTCAAAAAGTTTTTAGCCACGAACTTTTTACTTTTATATGATTGGAAAGAATGTTAAATCACAGGCTAGATAACAAAATCATGAGAAACTGCATACATGATGCTAGTGGATTAGTTTTGACATACCTCTCAGGTAAAGTATACATTTACCATTTATATCATGATCAGCTTCGTGAATTTGGAGCGTTTTGCTTTGTTTCGCGTTTGAAGCTGGAGGCTAAGATGGTGGAAGTCTTTCTTCTCATGGTGCTTAAGCTTAAGCATGGTGGTTGCTTTAAGAAAGCTTAGCCGAAAGAAAGTGATGAAAAATGATCATGATAAAGTAAAGATAAAATTCATAGTTCTGGCCTACTGAGTTAATTCAAGAGAAGAACAATAAGTAATAATCAGATTTCTGATACGGGGGTTCATCTCGAAAATGCAACCGTAAAGCATACTCTCGTCATATTACATATCGATCCCTAGAGGGTAGAGACTCAAGCTGATAACGTGTTATAAAACTAGACGGAAAGCGAGAGAATAGAGAATTGTATTCTCTTGGTGTGTTTTCATTATAACTGAAGCTCCTATTTATAGGAAACTTCTGATGGCACAACTTCTAATAATACAAATACATCGAGATCAAAATAGTCATTCACATACATTATTTTATTATTTCATAACACATACCCTTTATTTACTCACTCCAGATGACATCAATACCACATTACACGAAGTTCCATTCCGTAACTCAAATGGTGTAGCTAGGACTGTCTAAACAGGCCAGCCATTTACCATCATATACGGGCTTGGGCTGGCCTTTTACCGGCTCATATAACTTGGGCCGGACCAGGCTAGTTTTTCTAATAAACGATGTTGTCCATTTCAAATGTAATAATACACATTTAAGATCAATAGTCCAAAACAGCACATGTCAAGAAACTAGAAAGACTAATAAAAAGAAAGGCACAACGAAACAAGAAAACGCAAGAAACTTATACGAACATCAATATCTCCCCAAACCATAACATCAACATTTTGTTTTTTTCTTCAGAAAATAACTAAAACGACATATATTAGTCATCTAAGAAAAGGATAACATCGACATTTTGTTTTTTTCTTCAAAAAAGAACTAAAAAGACATATATTAGTCATCTAAGAAAAGGCCAAGGCCAGAATGAAGGGGAAGGGAGGAAAGGAAAGAAACTTCAAAGAACAAACTCGTCCACAAAGTCGCACTTCAAGAAAGCAACACAAACTGGTGTGAATACTAGACTTCATAAGGGTGTATACTGTAATAGCCAACCCTGCAAGTTAGCTTCATTTTCTCCATTTCCTCCTTGACGAGGTTGTAGATCAAAATCTTATTCTTACGCAAATTGGCACAAAGTACCAACACCTCCAAGTACTTAACCCAACCAACTGGAATTATAGCCACATCTTTACTTGTAGATTCAAATTGGCTCCTGTGTTCCTCCAATGAAAAATCCCCCGTCATTCTCCATGCAAACGTGCGAGGATCCATCTCCCAAACTTCCCAATAAAGCTTTCCACACTCACGCAATAAAGATAAATACTTTCCAGTCGACAAGTAAGTATTCTTAACTTCCCCACTCGGGCCAATAGAGTAACCGGGCTCAGGGCTCTCCGTGAATTCCTCAGTCTCCAGATTCATAGTCAATAACCTGTCTTCATGCAAGACCCAATGCATAAACCCATCAGTAATCAAAACGGGTTTACACTTAAAAACCCTAGGCTCCGCCTGCACGACTCTCCACGACTCATCATCATCTTCTCCTTCTCCAATGGTTAACACGTGAAACTCGTCCATCTTTACGCCTATATATGGATCGCCAGGAATGAAGACCACCACTTTCAAATCCATGAAGTCCCGAGCACATGATACTCCCCATGAATACATAGGTGTCGCTGAACGAGTGACGAGTGAAGGGAGATTAAGAATTACCCCTGACGAGTGATGTGAGAGGATGAGCTCAGTACATTTCCCTCCTTCTGCAACCGCTAAACAGAGTTGCGAACAATCGGTCACAGCCACGCTCGTGTTTTGTTGCCTCAACTTGGTTATCTCGACCCGGCCGTCTCGGGTGCCCATCGAGAACACAGCCCGGTATTTGGTGAAGAGAAGGGCGTAAGTTTTGTGGGTATGGGTCACATGGTACCACCGGCGGCAAACGAGCCTTGCCTTGTATATATCGTGGGCCGGGACACGGTCAAAAATGTTGGACAACAAGTCATCTGATAGAGCCCCATTGATATTTTTTTCACCACTCATCTGCACATTTAGGTTAAGGAGAACTTCAGCAACATAAGATAAGATTTTGGTAAAAAAAAAAAAATTGTATCTGTCCACAAAGAAATTCTAACTCCTATACTCAATTGGTCACTTTCAAAGGTTGAAATTAACTCACGACACAACACTAGATGGCAATATGGAATAGTAACCTTTGAACAACTTCAGTAACATAAATGAGATTATGGTAAAACTCTTTTTCTGTGTGTGTTCACAAGAAATTCCAATCTCTATTCTCAATTGGTCACTTTCAGAGTCTTTTTCTGTGTGTGTTCACAAGAAATTCCAATCTCTATTCTCAATTGGTCACTTTCAGAGGTTGAATTTAACTCACAATACAAAACTAGATGACAATATGGAATTTTAATAATACAAAACTAGATGACAATATGGAATTTTAATCTTTGAGTAACTTCAGTAACATAAATGAGAGATTTTGGTAAAACTCTTTTTCTGTATCTGTCCACAAGAAATTCTAATCCCTCTTCTCAATTGGTCACTTTCAGAGGTTGAATCTAACTCGAGACACAGAACCAAATGACAATATGGAATCCTAATCTGTGACCTAATTACTGCTTATATGCTAAAAAGAGTATACATTACCCAACCAGCAAAATCAACATGGGCCAATTGAAAATTAAGCTGCTCTTTACAGAGATTAGCTGGTAATATATGAGCGAAATACACCTAGTAACAAGTTTGATTACTATTTAATTCGCATCGATGTACAAAAGCTGTTCTTCGCTGAAATCTGATCGCAGGATTACCTGTTTCAACTTCTTCTCAGGTGGAGACCGCTGGCGGCGAACCTGTTCCTCGCTGAAACCTGATCGGAGGATTCCCTGCTTCTGCTTCTTCTCAGGTTGAGGCCGCTTGTGGCGAACCTGTTCTTCGCTGAAATCTGATCGGAGGATTCCCTGCTTCTGCTTCTTCTCAGGTGAAGGCCGCTGGTGGCGGTGGCGGTGGCGGTGGCGGTGGCGGCTGGGGCCTGGTGGATGCGTCGGGGACATCAGATGTTCCGCCTTAATTAGGTCGTGCTGCCAATTTTTCTCAGATTCGGAGATTAGGAATGACAAATATATGGGGTGGAACTGTGCATTATAAAATCTAATAGACGTAGGTATCCTAAATAGAACGGTTTACCCATGGCCCGACCCTCTTGATCAGGCTTTGTCCGGATGGGCCGCCCCTCAGCCATTGGCCCATTGTTGTCATCGATTGTTGGCCAAATGACATATATATGGTTGTTTGATAACTTATTCGGAAATAGCGATCATTAAGAGCTATTTTCATTCGGACGAGTTTGGTGAGACGTTAACACATAGAAAGTAAAAATTAAAAATAATATTAAAGCTCTCGCTCCTCATACTAGTGCAGATCCCGTGCGATGCACGGGGTACACTGTTTTAAGGTTATATACACAGTCTTATTATTCTATTTGTGAATAAAGATAATTAAATAAATAGAATAAAGAATGTTATTATATATTATTAAAACCTCATTGTAGAGAATATTTTTTGTCTTGTAGACACACCATCTTCCCCGCAAACTAATACTTCCAAGCCCTTTCAATTAGTGACACTGGAAACAGCTACATACAACTGGTCGTGACTGAACACTGACTTCTTCAAGAACATGCCAACATGTGATAAAGACTGACCCTGACTCTTGTTAATTGTCATGGAATAAGAAACCATTAGGAGAAATTGTCTTCGCTGAAATTTTAAAAGAACTACAAAGTCGGAAGGTGTTAGTCATTCAAAGTATCAACACCTTCTCTCATGCATTAGATTCAGTCAATACCTTACATTCAAGCACATGAATGGAGAGCTTTGTGACAACCAATATCGTACCTTACATTCAACTACATGAGTACTAAAGTTCTTATAATAAACATCGAATATTAATGTTAATATTAGTGTTAGTATTATTATATATAAGAACACGAATTGCAATGGAAATAATGAAACTTATCTCCTCGTCATGAAATAGGATTTCCATGTAGTTTTTATATTCAATGCAAACAATTATTTGAATTACCCGCAACATCAAACATGGTTTATTGGTTCTTGAAACTTGCTTTGTCAAACCGAATTTGCACTTCATGTTGAAAGCATTGTAATTGACTAAAAGCAAAATTAAAAAAGAATATTCAGCATGTGAGTTATTACAAGACTTATCTATCAATTTATAGAGTTAGTAAAATGCTTAATTGAATTAAATTTCAAAAATATTTTAATTTAAAAATATTGTAAAAACGACAACTTATGGTCTAGAAATTGCATCAATTTAATTAATTTGATAATATTATTTATTTATGTTAAATTATAATGATTTGATATTTGATATGATAATTAATTTGAAAAAAATATTTATATATGTTGCAAGGTTTTTCATGTACAACACTAACACGTTTTTTTGAGTACATGTGGGAAGAAACCTGATTATTTGTTAATAAAATTTCATATATTCACAAGTGCTNGCAAACAACTGATTTATTTGGAAATAGATTTTTTTGTATATTGCAAAGTAATATCTCATCACACATTTTTTATTTATAAATTGGTATTTATCACATATTTGGCAAAATAAACCTTTATAAACAACTTGGTTATTTTGAATATCCTGAGACAAATATAAAATATAAATTCGGACATTATTGTGTTCAGTATCTGTATTAGTTAGGTATTTATATATAATAAATATCCAGTTCAGTAGATAAATTTTTTATTCAAAGTTCATTTCCTTATTTTCAGAACTTTCATACAAATTGTATTGATTACATTCTACGCATTTTTAAAGCATAAGATCTTTAGAATTGATTATATAGGTAGAGATATCGAATACTGGTATCACTTTACATGCAATTAAATAAATTTAATATTTTGTTGTTATGTATATTTATGTTACGTTTTCATATATATGGTCAGTAGTATTTTTACTGGTAAAGAATCACAATAAATAAAAAATTTAGAAAAAAAATATAAGATATATTTAATTCATAATTATTATATATAAAAAATACACAATGTAGAATAAATAATTCGAATTACATAATTTAAATAGCTTAAAAGTTTATTTCTTTTTAATTGTGGATATTTATTAGTCTTTTAAAATATATGATTACGCAAATCAAATGATACACTTTATTCTTACAGTTAAAGTTTTAAGGAATGTGTATCTCGATATATTAGAGACTGATATATTTATTAGTTTTTTTAAAATATATGATTACGCAAATCAAATAATACACTTTATTCTTACATTTAGTGTTTTAAGGAATGCGTATCTCGAGATATTAGAGACTGATATATGTGATTAGTATTACCATAATAAATTAGCCGCAATTACCTAAATTGTATCGTTAAGAACTAGTACGTAACCCGTGCGATGCACGAGATGTAAAATTTGGAAGAATAATATAATCTCACGTGCATTAGGATCGAAATTGAAATCATTAAAATACATAGGAACATTGTTGAATCATAAAAAGTTCGGTAACAATCATATATTATTAAAAACCTCCTTATACACAATATTATGCGTTTGATTATTTAGTAACTCCTCATTATCACAAACTAATATTTTCAAAAGAGACAAATCCTAAAAATCAAACTAATATTTTTGGTGAACAAAACTAATATTTTAGGATTTGTGAACAAACTAATATTTTAGGATTTCTAGGATTTTTCTCTTTTTGGTGACCAAACTAATATTTTAGGATTGGTTATATGAATAAGGCTACCTGTTTTTGGTGTTCTTTTCATTCATTTTCATTCAAACAATCCGGTGACTTGTATAATGAAATCCAAATCTTAAGCCGAAATATTTAAAAAAAAGAGTTTTTAAAATTGAAATGTCAAGGCAATCAGTTCAGATTAATTAAAGTTCAAAGAATATCCGCTCTTTGAAATAAAGACGTGTGCTATCATTAACCAAATATCCGGTTATTGATATAGAGTGGTTACCAATAAATAGAACGCGATAAGGACGCTTCATGGAAATATCAATGGGATAAGATTATAACAGATCGCTATACATTTTAACGATAAAAGCTCAGATGGAATGATTTATGATAATTATGTCCTAATTAATGAATTAATGAGAAGTGTGAAAAGAACATAATTAATGAGAAGTGTGAAAAGGACAAAAACTTACCAGTTTTGAAAAATATTTAATGCAAATCCGACATTGACCATAATTTGACCTACTATTTTGAATAAATGTTAATTCTTATTATATAAGTATAGATCTGCAGAAATCGTATGTAATTAATACATTTAAAAAATGAATTTTGTATATGATTAATATTACCTTAATAAATCAGCCGCAATTACCTAATTGTACCTTTAGAACATACCATAAAATGTTTAAATAATTTTCAGATTTAGTAAACAACAATTTTTTTAGAGGGAAATAGTTACTATTTAAAAAATAATCAAACTTTTATATATATATATATATATATAGGGGACGGATCCAATGAGACCACTCCTTAAAATGAGTACGTGAGACTCAATCTTAGCCACTCATTTTGTCTAGATCAAAATCAATTAAAATATACATTAATTAAACAATAAAATAATTATTAGTTGACTCCGGCGTTGACCGTTGACTCCGGCGTTAACCGTTGACTTCCAGCGTTGACTTCCGGCGAGAATCGTTGACTTTCGACGTTGACCGTTGACTTCCGGCGTTGACCCGTTGCATTGAAATAAATAACCTAGCAACAAAAGACACTCAACCTTGAGTGGTGTAGTGGTTGCATTGCTTGTCTTGCTTCCATGAGGTACCAGGTTCAAATCCTATGGGTTACAATTTTTTTATAAAAAAAAAAATACAACTAACTTAGCAGCATCAGACAACTAACCTAGCAACAAAACACAACTAACTTAGCAGCATCAGACAAAAACACAAATGCTCTCCCTTCTCTCTAACTTCCTCTCTCTAGAATTTATTCCAATTTTCTTTGGCTTATATTTTCCGTCCACCGCCGCTGTTGTAACGCCCCGTTTTATTTTAAAGAATTTACCGAATTTATTTAATAAAAATCAGAGTTATTTTTTTTTTTTAAAATCCAAATTAAAACATTTATCGAGAAACGGGCGCTACTTATTAACCACAACAAATAAACACACTCAATCAAACAATCCAATGAACCTACACATGCTCGAGCTATGAAAATGACAATCTCATAAATCATAAATTTCAAAATCATTCCCGAACGACTAGCAGGAAATCCAGGTTCAAACGAAATTCAAACATAGTTCGAAGGCAAATAAATAAATAAACCAAAGTATTTGAAAGCAAATGAAATGAGTAACGAGTTCATGCATAACACATAATCAATATACAAAATCAAGCAGGGATATAAACACATATTAAAATATCCAAATCCAAGCGGGA